CATCAGCTTTCCCCTTCACTTCCTTAGGGACATCTGAGGCAGGTGGACTGGGTCCACCAGGATCTAGCAGGTAACACAGACTAGCTGCTAGGGAAAGGAAAACAATAGCAAGCAGGTGGGGAAAAGGCTTGTGACCTCATAGCAGTGTAAAGCATGGAAGAAGATTGGTTAAGAAAGGAAGGATGGGGAGTGGAAGGGAGAGGCCGGGCAGGTGCAGTGCTAGCTGCATATTTATGTTTACACAGCTGCTATTCTGATTTTTGTTCAGTTCTCTTCTTGGGAAGAAGGAAAGTTATGCCTTCTTTCAGAGTGCCTGAGCTCAGGAACTAGGGAGGGGTCCTGGAGGACTGCAGGCCAGAGGGACTGGGGAAATAACGAAGTAAGGAGAGACCATGGTACTGGGAAGAAGGGTAGGAAACTAGTGAGCACAACAGTGGTCCCACACAGAGCTAGAAGTGGATATACAGCCTTAGCCTTTGAGGTGGGAAACAGACTTGTGTCCCAGGAATCTTCAGCAAATGGCTGGACCAGAAAGGAAGAGAAGGGTCCTGCAAGGACATAGCAGATGGGGGACATCAGATTTTAAAGTATTTATTTAATCCATCTCATCCAGCATGTGAACTGTAGAGAGCAGCCAGAAAAACCTCCCCTGAAGGGTCTGTACACCCCAAGCCTGTGTAAACTGGGCCACTACTGGGCAATTTTAACATCTCCAAACCTAGAAACTGCCTCTTTGCTGTAAGAATATGGGATGGAGAGTTTGGGAAAGAAAAGGGAGGCCAAAGAGTGACTGGAAAAATTGTAAAGGTGGTGAGGTGGAAAGTCAGGTGGTCTGAAAAAGCTGAGGAAGGCGTTTAGAGGTGGAAGCCAGTGAGGCTGGCACAGTGGAATAGAATGGATGAGGAAGGGGAATTTGCACCAGATAAGCAGACACAGCTGGATTAGAAATGGAATTAGAATGGACTGGTTGGGGATGAAAGGTGTGAAAGGAGCAGCACAGGTCTGACAAGAGATCTGGGATGACAAGCCTGAGGAGGAAGGATTTCTCTAAGAATTGTCTGCAAACAGGTGGCCCTAGAGAAACTTTCTGTACCATTGTAGGCTACTGAAAGAAACTGGCCTGAGATGCCTTAAATCTGCTAAGACTAAAGAGCCATCTGATGGTTATTGCACACAGTCATCATTGACCTGGACACAGTCCTAGTCCTGGCCTTAAGTACTAAGCCTATATGTAGCTCTGAAAATGGACTGCCAGTGTCTTCCTTGTGTTGCAATGGTCATTTTTCTCTATCATTCAGGACTATAAAACCAATCTTTGCTTGATGTTCTTTTTCATGACATTAGTTTCCAAATCCAGCACAAACCTCTGCTAAACCAGTTCTTATTGTTTCCAACATTTGTTAAACACTCTTCAGCCTTTCCTTGTTCCTTTGGTTCTCTTCCATGTAGGCAGGGTACCTCAGCCCTTTCCTCATTGTCACATCTCTTCTAGGGTCTCTTTTTCCCTTAAGGAGGAGATCTCACTGCTTTCCCTGAGGCTTACTGTTAGGCTGGGCTGAATCTGGTAGCCTGACAGAGGGGAGGCTGCCACAGCTCCATGCCCCCTGACCCAGCCAGTAGCAAGGCTGAGAATGTATTCCCAGTAGACACACATATGCAACGCATATATATATGTATACACAGCCGACTGCACAGATCAACGCAGATGCACCCACCACTCACACAAACACAAACAGCACCACAGAAACAGAAACAGCATCAGTGGCCTCATCTTGTGTCCCTCTCTGGCTGAACTGGCTGAGGGTTCAATAGTGGGAAATATATGTATACATATGTACAATTTGCATCCTTTCCATAGCTGTGCTTGGACACCAAGTCTGCCCAGTAGCTGCCCCTGGATCCCAGTCACCACATTTGCCAGCACCTGGACCTATGAGCCCCCAGGTCCTGCAACCCCACTCCAATTGCTGGAACGCATACAAACATGCACCCCACACCCCGCCCCCCCCCTCCAATAGGTGTCTGGGACTTCCCTGCTCCCTCTGGTTGCCACCTCCCACTGGTCTTGCCATTAGAGACACACACCTGGAACCCAGATCACTTCACTTACTTGCCAGCTAGTCTGGCTTCATGTTCACTAGTGATCACATACACTCACATACCCTCCCTTGCCCCAGCTGCTGGCATGACGAACAAATGGCCACTCTTACCTGTGGCCCTACTCCGGTTTCTGGTGCTTAAGTTCACTCACTCTGGTCTCTCCAGTTGCTGGTACCTGTGGTCTGACTCCAGTTCCTAGCACTTAGACCTCCATACACAGAACACATGTGCACAGAATAGACAGTCCCTCCCTCAGGGAAATACTTAGAAATGGAATTTAATAAGACATGGATACACTGAGCTAAGCAGGCACAAGTCATAGCCAGACAAGCATACTCACTAGCAACCTGTTTACCTGTGACTGGCCCCTTTTATAACTATTCCTCTATTTTCTTACATCTATTCTTCCCCAAATCCAGTAGTTCAGGGTCTGATTTGGGAAGCTCAACCATAGCTGCCTTTATCTTGGTATGTTTTTGTTTTCCCTTGTTTCTTCTTTAATCTTAAAAGAAAATAGACTGAAAGAATTAGACATTTTGAACTGAAAAATAAAAGGGCTGTCAATCTAGCTACTCTTCAGAAGGCAGCAACATGTTATGCAATTTCTGAGAGACACACTAGAGGTCCTGAGTTAGTTACACCTTCCAAATACTTCCTTCTTCCAGAGTGTGCAATCATTTTTTGTTTCCTGAGACAGAAAAGTTACTCTGAATAAAAAAAATCTTCATCCTGAAATGAGTAATAAATTCTAACACATGTGACTAGAGAAGAATTTGAAGCCCAGCTGCACTGAAATGATTTCATCTTGTCTCAGAGTTCTTACACAGCATAATCTTAGAATTAATTCCCACAGTCTCCATAGTCTGTTTCATTTCCCATCAAGTCTCTGAAATTCTTTCTTCCTCCAGGACTTGAGGTCTGATTACCACTGGAAGAAAAGGTTTTTAACAGGTCCAGCATAACAGACAATAACTAAATAACCTGTAGTGTCTCCATGCACAAGACATGTAGGACTCATTTTAGGACATTCATCAAAGCAGCAGTGTCCCATGGAACTGTCTCAACATGGCCCATGGAAGTGTCTCAAGGTGTCCCATCCTAGCAGTAAGGTGAACGGGCAAAATGTCAATAAATTCAAATGGAGAACAAGCAAAATCAAGACAAGACTTCCATGAAAGAGAAAAAAAAATAGGTTGTGGGGAGTAAATGCTAAAAATACGCATCAAAGGATAATCTGTGTCATAACCATAAAAGAATATAAAGGCATATTAAATTTGGTCAAACCCATTTGCTAACTGCTGTATTGACTTTGAAAGCAGCACAAAAATTCAAAGAAAAATGTAAAAGGTATGGAAGGTGATTAAAAAAAATGTTCTGTATTGTCTACAATTCCTTGACAAGTCACTGAAACTGTAATACATCCAGCACAGGGCTCAACCTTGCTGGAGCACAGGTAAGGAATAATTTCTTCTGAGAAAACCTGCAGTGGCAAGAACTGGCAGGGACTGAATGGGAGCCATGGTCAAAACCCTACTTCTCATATGCTAAGTGTCCATGACACTGGAGATCATACAAAACTTTTATATATCATATAGAATATATTTTCCTTCCTGTCTGGGAAGAAGCTGTAGCTTCTCAGGTAATTTCTGTTAACTTCTTAAAAAAGCAGGATTAAAAAAGTGAGACAGGGAACATTCACTACCAAAATTTTTAAGATTCATACTGCTCTTAATCCTGGTATGACCCTAGGAATTCAGTCTTAGGCCCAGAAAAAGTACAATATCACCAGGCTTGCAGTCAGGACATGCCTTTTCTACAAATATATAAAGGTCAAGGGAAGATGTGACTCTCTCTAGAGCTTCAGGCAAATACAGGAGGGGGAATATCAACAAAACAGGAAGAAAAAGAGAAAACCTCAGTAATATCGCTAATTGTTTGGAAGATGCAGTATCAGGCTTACTGAAGGTCATTGAAACTAAATATATATATTTCATTCAAAGTACTAGTGAGGAAAGAATCAGCTACAATAATAAGTTTTTTGAATCCTACACATTCAGAAAAGAATAGAGTGTGGTATAGGTTAAGACAAGGCTAACTAGGATGTACTTGGCAGACTAGAAAAAACAGACTGTTCATGAGGCTAATGTCTAACCACAGTTTTTGCTTTCAGAAAAAAAGGCTGGCAGAGTTGTGTTGCTTTTTGTAATTAGGAAGTGAATTAGAGCTCCCAGGAAGATTAAACTGCAGGGAATATGCTTCCCTGACCAGAAAACAGAAGAAATTAAGTTATGATTAAACATGATTTTTGTGCCTCCACTATCTTGGACTATCATCTTTGCTTCTGTCTAACATAAGTTCTGAGTTGTGAGGTACCACCTTTCAGGTATTAAGAACGACTCTCCAGAATGAAACAATATGTGTTTACATTTACTGGAATAAACCTTTCTGGAAACATGTCCCAAGAAAGATGGGCCCAAGAAAGATGGATATAACCACAGGTGTAAATTAGTCAAAAAATCATTTATGAGGCCAATATTCCCAGGTTCATGGCTGACAGATCCAATACCCAGACATCCACGATGATGGAATGACAAACAGTACAACATTCAACCAGCAACTTACTGATCTGCAAGCAATCCCACATTTTTGTCAGGAGCTCAGAACACTGCCTGTCTTGTGGAAAGGCTAAAACAAAACTTACAGCCACATGAATACTTAGCTTGCTTTTAATGGCTCACCAAAGGTGGACTGTCCCTTCTCTCTTCTCTGGCCAAGCTTGATTGAAAAATCAGAACAAGGGGAGGGGCATCAGTCCTTAGCCTCTTCTCTCTTAACTCACAATGAGCAGTAACACACTGTTCTGGGACAGCTGACAGGCCATGCTGACTGTTTTGCTTGCTCTTTTACCTGGTGAGAGACAACAGATCCATCTGCAGCATGGCTCTCATCCAGGCCATGCAGGGCTGGTGTGAGGTAAAAGACCCTTTTTGGCCATGATCTGTACTTCTTCTCCTCCCTTTCTCTTTTTCTCTCTCACTCATGCAGGTGCTGGGGTCGGAAACCTCATCACACAGTGGCCAGAAGAAACCCTTAAGAGAGCTGGAGAGACTGTGGACATCTCCTGCTACCAGAATTTTACCACACTTGCCTATGTGTTCTGGTACCAGCAGCCTCCAAGAAATGGTCTGAAGTTAGTAGCCAGTACTTCTACATGGATGCAAAGTTCTTACGAGGAAGGTTACAGTGAGGCCAAGTTTGAAATAAGCAGAGAGAATAGTGATTACTCTGTGATGACGATCAAGAATGTGACATCCAAGGATGCAGCCACGTATTTCTGTGCTGCGAGTGATCACACGGTATTGCGAGGGGGTTGAGCACTAAGATAAAATCCCCACCTTGCCTGAGTGAGAGATGGAGTCTCTGAAAAATGTGAGTGAGACAGACTGGAGAGGAGCAGAGGAAGAGCAGATGGGAAGAAGTGGGAGGATAGAGCCAGGACTTTTTGGAGGGAAGAGGGACAGACAAAGCAGTGCAGCAGCATCTAGCTTCAAAGACAAAAAGCCTTCAGAGATACAAACCCATAGATCAGCATTAAGAATTGAGGCACTGCTGATGTGGTTAGTAAAAGGCAGCAAATACTTCTTAGGATTGGTGCTACAGAAGCACAGCCATGTTCTGGGCCACTAGTTCCCCACAGACCCCCCACAACACCAAGAAAAGAGTACAAAGCAGAAGGAGAATTCAAGGTTCTTCCACATAATGATGATCCACCAAAAGACAGAGCTGCCCAATGAGAGATTGACCGGTGTGGGAGGAGAGCCCAGCCTGTGATTATGGACATAGGAGGATGACACTAGTACAGGCAGGAGGAAACATACCCAGGGGTCCAGGCATTGTGGAAGGGACAGCCCCTTGGCAGCTTTACAAGCAATAATGTGCCCTGCAGCACTTTTATTTACCTGCTCCACACACCACTTAATTGCAGGATCCCTCTCTTCCTTGCCACAGAAATGAGTAACAGTTCTGAGCTGGACCAAGGCATCTCTTCATGGCAAAACCTCATGGGCAGAGAAAGGAAACCACAAAAAGCTGCTGTCCCCTGGTGCTCCCCTTGTGAGGGAGAGCTGAAGGCAGAAATTGCCTTCCATTGTGCCTCTGTCTTCATTGCTTGCAGAGATGAGCTTTTGATGAACTAATTGTTCTTCTGTGAGGAGCCTGGGAAAAGTGAGGGTGGAGTATTATTAGGGTTCCCCCACCTACCATTGGCTGCCTGTGCTTCTGTTTTTATTGCATAACCTAGGACTTACCTTTTCTTCAAAGAAAGGGAAACAGCAGATAAAAGAACAAAAGGTACCTTTAAGAAAGTATAGCTATACACTTGTGTATTTTGGGCTTCTGTTTTTAGGTCATGTCTTTGACAATCTGCATACCATTGAGCACAGACCAATTGTTTGTCTCATATACTCATATGGAAGACATAGCATATGAAGCACATAACTATCATAGGGAGCAAATGTACTAAGCTGCTCACTGATGTGGCAAAACTGGATATGCTGAAGTGAAACTTACTATTTGATTACAGCAAAAAAAGGAGTGGAGGTGATGAGAATAGCTGCTGAGAGCAAGGAGCAGGAATCAGCTGGCAGCATGTCCTGTAAAAAAAGATCCTGTCCTGGTTTCAGCTGCCATAGAGTTAATTGTCTTCCTAGTAGCTGGTATAGTACTGTGTTTTGGATTTAGGATGAAAATAATGTTGATAACACACTGATGTTTTTGTTGTTGCTGAGCAGTGCTTACACTAAGTCAAGGACTTTTCAGCTTCTCATACTGCTCTGCCAGCGAGGATGCTGGAGGTGCACAAGAAGCTGAGTGGGGACACAACCAGGACAGATGGTCCAAACTGGCCAAAGGGATATTCCATACCTTATGATGTCATGCTGAACAACAAAAAAAATTGAGTGAGTTGGCCAGGGGGGCACGGCCACTGCTTGGGAACTGGCTGGGCATCAGTCAGCGGGTGGTGAGCAATTGCATTGTGCATCACTTGTTTTGTAAGTTCTTTTATCATCATTATTATTATTTTCCCCTCCTTTTCTGTCCTATTAAATTGTCTTTATCTCAGCCCACGAGTTTTACTTTTTTTCTGATTCTCTCCCCATCCCACTGCAGGGGGGAGTGAGCGAACAGCTGTGTGGTGTTTAGCTGCCTGCCGGGTTAAACCACGACAGATCCTCACATTCCATTTCAGCAAAATTGCTAGGAGACTTTTGTACTGCCAGGACGGATCGCTCGATTTCATGCCACGGTCCTAGTCTCCTGATCGACCATGCTACATAAATGTTACTTTACTTCCAGGCTCTGCTCTACAAGAAGCTTAACTGTTCTTGGCTAGGGAAATCCGGATGCATGACAGAAACTCGTGTTCATTGTAGTCTCACCCTGGACACAATGGAGGCTCTGAAGAGACTAAACCTAATTGCATCCCAGACTTACTCCAGTCCTCCAAAGACATTTCTGAAAGACTCAGCTTCACACACCACTCCTTGCACATCCTGGTAGCCAATATTCTTCTGACTCCAGGAGCTGCTCAGCAATGAGTGTAATATACCATTCCTTGCTCCCAGGGAGCACTCATCTGCTCCTCAGAACACTCTCAGGTCCATGATCTACTCACTGTTCATATCAGGCTACAGACATACAGCAGGGAAGCACTGGGAAAGCATTGTGTCTCACATAGCAGAGACACTGACTTCCTTATTCTTTTCAGCCTCCAATCTTCTTAGATAGAGAATTACTGTCTGGAACTATTACTGGTGATCCAAATGCCCTGTGAAAGTTTTAGGAAAAGTAGTTTATGCTGGAATCATTAAGGAATATAAACACCATGGTGGTAACTTTGGGAGTGACTTTGGGTGATTTCTTTTTAGATTTTTTTTATTCTCTTTCAATAAATTACCAGTTCGTGAAAATCATAATGTTACAGTCCTAGCTCAGACCTCTTGCATAAACACTGAAAACCAGCTTTATCTGGGAACATAACAGAGGAAGGATCCCTTTCTATTTCTCAACTCTTGAGCACCTTTAGTTTAGAGTGGCAAATGCAATTTTAAGGCCCTGTGAAAATAAACTTACCCGTAGCCTTCAACGTTCAGCAGATTAATAAGCTGGCTATTGACTGGTCACAGCTGTGCAATTTCCAGGTGGTAGTAGAAAATCACAGAGATGTCTAGTGTTCATTGCCATCTTGAAGTTCTGCAGTCACAGTTCCCTATTCCAGCTCTGAGATACAGTTTTCTCCTATGCAGTACTTCTTTTGCCAGCTTGAAGTGGCACTGCACAAAAAGCAGCTAATCTAAGAAGTTTCTCATGAAACAGCTACTATCCTCCTTGTTGCACTCCCTGTCCTCATATTTATTCTCCTTTGTCTCCTGCTGTAGAAGGTGGCAGGGGAGCTGTAGCTACAGAAACCATAGTCAAAGGTACTTGTTTTAGATGGTCAGCAGTGAAATCTCAGGCACATCTGTGTAAACAGCTGTGTATTTGTAATGAATAGCAGTTTGTCAATAATAGCCTACCTGCAGTCTAGAGGTTATACTCACTACTCAAAAGATAAGATGATGGAAGCAGAGGATGTGTAAAGTCACATCTCTGTGCAGATAATGATGCTATACCGTATGATGTGGTCATCCTGCAACTACTGGGAGGGTTTCACAGAATCATGGAATCAGAGAATCACAGAATGGTTGAGGTTGGAAGGAGCCTCTGAAGGTCATCTTGTCCAAACCCCCTGCTCAAGCATGGCCACCTAGAACCAGCAGCCCAAGACTGTGTCTAGGCAGCTTTTGAATATCTCTAAGCATGGAGAAGCCACAACCTCCCTAGGCAACCTATTCCAGTGCTCAGTCACCCTCACAGTAAAAAAGTGTTTCCTTGTGTTCAAAAGGAACCTCATGCATTTCAGTTTGTGCCCATTGCCTCTGGGCCTGTCACTGGGCACCACTGAGAAGAGCCTGTCTCCATCTTCTTTGCACCCTCCCTTCAGGTACTTATATACATTAATCAGATCCCTCCTGAGCCTTCTCTCTCTAGGCTAAACAGTCCCAGCTCTCTCAGCCTCTCCTCCTATGTGAGGTGTTCCAGTCCCTTCATCATCTTTGTGGCCCACTGCTGGACTCTCTCTAGTATGTCCATATCTCCCTTGTACGGAGGAGCCCAGAACTGGACACAGGACTCCAGGTGCAGCCTTGCCAGAGCTGAGTAGAGGGGAAGGATCATCTCCCCGATCTGATCTGCTGGCAACAGTCTCCTAATGCAACCCAGGATACCATTAGCCTTGTTTGTGGCAAGGGCACGTTGCTGGCTCATGTTCAACCTGCTGTCCACCGGGAGCTCCAGGTCCTTTTCTGCCAAGCTGCTTTCCAGTTGAGTCACCCCCAGCATGTACTGGTGCATGGGATTATTCCTCCCCAGGTGCAGGACTCTGCACTTCCACTTGTTGAACTTCATGGGGTTATTGTTGGCCCATTTCTCCAGCTTGCTGAAGTCCCTCTGGATGGCAGCATGACCCTGTGGTGCACCAGCCACTCCTCCCATGTTAGTGTTGTCTGCAAAGTTGCTGAGGGTATACTCTGCCCCATCATCCAGATGATTAATGAAGGTGTTAAACAGAAGATGTTTCCCACCACAGCTGCTGTTTCTCAGGCTTCTTGTGAGACAAGAACTGACTCAGAACAGAAATAACAGGACAGATAACCTTGTGTTAATCATCCAGTACAGATATTGGATTCGGAGCAGAAGATGAACATTTGGAAAACAATATTGTTCTTTAGTGGAACAACTTGGGCGCAAATCAATGGCCTCTAACAAGAAACTTGAGTAGACACAGGCTGGAGGAGAAGGGAAACAAAGGGAAGGAAATAAAGGAAATATACATACATAGGATGGTATACCATCACTATCTGCATAGGGATGTGTATTGGGTCTAGCTGGGATGGAGTTAACTTTCCCAATAGCAGCCCTCACAGTGCTGTGCTTTGTATTTGTAGGTAGAAAGGTGTTGATAACACACCAGTGTTTTGGCTTCTGCTGAACAGTGCTTCCACAGCATCAAGGCTGTCTCTCCAAACCTGCCCCCCCCCCCCCCCCACCCCCCTCCCCCAAGGCCCAAGATCCTCTCATACAGATCATTGATAAAGATATTGAACAGAACTGGCCCCAATACTGAGCCCTGGGGAACACCGCTCGTGACCGGCCGCCAACTGGATTGAACTCCATTTACCACAACTCTCTGGGCCCGGCCGTCCAGCCAGTTTTTGACCCAGCGCAGAGTCCACCTGTCTAAGCCGTGAGCCGCCAGCTTCTCCAGGAGAATGCTGTGGGAGACGGTGTCAAAGGCCTTACTGAAGTCCAGGTAGACCACATCCACAGCCCTTCCCTTGTCCACTAGGCAGGTCACCTGGTCATAGAAGGAGATCAGGTTATCTTGAACCATGAGTTCTTTTTCATTTTATTTTCTCCCTCCCCTCTACCCCCATCCTGCTGAGGATGGGGAGTGATAGAGGGGCTTGGTGGACACCTAGCAGCCAGCCAAAGTCAACCCACCACAAGATGTGATTTTACACATCCTCTCCTTCCACCATCTTATCTTTTCAGTACACTAATATGCCCTGAAAAGGGGCTGTTGCTTAATTTTAGGGGTTCGTGGTCAAAAGTGCTGAATGTTTCTGAAAAGAACTTCCTGGTGTCCCTAAAACAAATCTGTAAAGCTCAGCGCGTCTCTGTAGTTCTGCCTGCTTCTTTGTAGCTGCTTCTTCTGTAAACGCTAAAGAATAATCCAGGACTGATGTAAGTGATCATTACTTTCCTATGAAATTCCCCCACTGAAATGATATCATTGTTAGAAAATATGGCACTAACTGTCTCTTGCTTGCATACTCTCGCCTTTCCTTGTTGTGTGAAGTTTTACACAGCTTGAAGCCTCCTATGAGAGACATAGAAATAAAAATCAAGCAACTGTCTTTCCTCTCTTCTCTCCCTCTCGCTCATTTGAATTAATGGCCTGCAAGGCCTTTCCTTTTGACAGGTTATAGATGAACATTAAAGTGGGACAAGACTGGTCTCTGCTGGCATGTCTTGGAAATTGCCTTATGAACATGTGCTAAGGAGATGTTAGCACCACATAGAAACACTCCTTCAAAATTAATACAGAAGTGATTTGTTTGTTTTTAAATGAAAAACACCATAGGGGAGAGAGTCTGTTAGTGATAGTAAGGACACTAATGGAGCTATAGACTGGAGAAGGAGACACAATAATCTCAAATGCATTTTAGTAGAATGGTTTTAGACCCTGAATAAACAGTGCTGAGATCAGAGGCAGACTAAGACCAAGGCAGGCAAATAATATCCCGCTATTAGTGTTATTATTTAGGCAGAGCCGGACAAATACAATCCTAAATGTATTTTTAAAAAGAATTCAATCTAAACAAAGACAACTGTCTGCAGTCATTCCCATAATTAGTGACTTAAACACACAGTTTTTCTGTCGTAGAAGAGAGGATACTGTAGGGGCACCTGAGATCACCTGTCCAATATCTTGCCTTCTGTAGTTCTATGTCTTGGTCCTAAATGTTTAAGTTTAGTCTGTTTCTCATTCCCTTCCCTGGGACACTAACAGCTGTTCCCAGCTGAACAGGCTGTGTCAGAAATTATGGGTTCTTCTGTGATACCTGAAAACAGAAGAAAATAATTTGTGATTTTCCTAGTAGAACTACCTTGTTTTGAAGGATTGTTTCCTGTACTTACAGTCTATTTTTTGTATCAAAATAGACTGAAGTGAAACCATTAAAGAGCAATATGAACAACATGTTTACTGCAGGTACTTGGTCATGTTGCTGAATATGTGTTGACCTTTTATGTGAGAAGACTAGGCCAGGATGGGCTGCATATGCCCCAAACCTAAACTGGTTTGTTCACGTGCCTGTCTTTCCCTGTATTGCCTCAGTGTGTGCTGGTACACAGTCTCACTGGCACAGATCTTTCCCTCTTGGGAGTTACATCATACCTGGACAAACCTGTGGGGGAAAAAAATACAGTTTTGTGTCTCCATTTAGTTATGTGTAAGAGAGGGAGATAAAAGTATCCTGTTACCTGTCACCACCAGTCCCTACCCCCTTCAGACAGTCTCCAAAATGAAGGCATGTTCTTAGTCCTAGATGAAGCCTTTTCATAGTCAGGGTCACAGGCATCTGGGAGAAACTTGTACTTCTGCTTCCTGTAACAGGGCAGTCAGAGTCATACAAACTTAAGAGCTCAGCAACCTACTTCCCTCCCTTTCAGAGCACCTGTGACAAATGCAGCACAAACCAAAGAGGATATTCGCAGTCAGGACAAGCTACAAACAGAAACACCACTCTGTAGTAAGCAAATCGCTCTCAATGCAAACCAGTACTGTGGGCTTGAGGTTTGTTTATCATCCTGGGGCAGAAGAAAAAAAGAGTGGGAAGGAAAGTAACATGAACACTGTCATGAAGTTACCAAGTGAAAAATAACTGCATTTAAAACCAGCTAACAAAAGAAAAAAAAATTACTTTTTTGTCTATAGGAAAAAAAGTTGGGATTATAAATTCAGGGTTAATGGATACACTAAGAGGTAATCAGACTATCACACAGAAACAGCAATGGCAGAGGAAGGATGTGGCCTGTTGTTACCATCTTTCATGGTGACCGGCTGACAAAAATGGGAGGGCAGAGCCATGGGTGGGATTGTTTTTGTACAAGGTTGTATCATTGTGGGGACAGGTGACTCACAATGATACGTTTCCCACCAGGCCTTTACAAAAACCCGTATGCGCATAAGCCTTGTGGGAGAGTGTGTTAAGACAGCTACAGAGCATTCGGCAGCACAGCAGGTATGTTCTGTCTCGTTTTTTGTTGACTGACCTTGTATGCTAGGACTTACTTTCATCGTCTGAGAACTGAGCCTGGCCTCTCTGGAAAACAAGCCAGGAGATTCTGAGACATTGAAATAATTTTCAGCAAACCAGATTGACTGCAGATGCATCTAAAACCTGTCAGACTACGCGAAGCACAGAATTAGTATTTTTTTCTCATGCAATAGTGTTTGCAACAGACCACAAAATGGTTCTTTATTAATGTGGCAAAAGTGTTACAAAAAGAATTCTGACATGTAGCAGGTATCTCTCAGAGGCACTATATAAAATGTGTTGGGGTTTTCTCTCTTAAATAAGCCTCCAGTGTCCACTGACTGACTCATGTCTGTGAGCACAACGGTTTTCTCTAATCCTTCTCCATACTGTCTCACTGCAGTTCTTCCTAATGGATGTCAAGGGTTTGCCTGAGACCAGCCAACTGATTCTTCTGGACTGTCCTTGTGTGGATTACTTTTAATCAATCAGAAAATGGAATGGGATCCTGAAAGACTATTCAAGATGGCTGGCCCGCCATTGAAGGGAAAACAAATGGATTTGTTTTAGTTCAGTGCCACAAAGGCGAACCACCTATATGAAAAGGCATGTGACTATGACAACCACAAAGCAAGTATTATATGATTATTAACTCCACAAGTTACAGAAAGGAAGGCTTCACAATGCTTAGAGTACAAGACTGACAGTAACGAAGCTCTAGTTGTAGAGGAATTATATTTCTAGACAATGACAGCCTCTACCACTTTGGGTATGTCTGCATGGTTTCTACATCTGCAAAATGAGAATAGCAAGTAATACCAATGGGATAACATGGAGATTAGAGAAAGTTTGTAAAACAACTTGAGATGAAATGTAGACAATAAAAATAAGTATCAAAAAACTCTGGGAAATGCTTTTATAAATGCTATAGATTATACAATGGGATTTCAAGCTCGTTTTATGACAAAGCCTTTCAGACAGATATTGAGGGATCTTTGGGATTCCAGATACAGGAAACATTGCTTAAGCTTCTACTTACTAAAGTCAACCACAGTGCATCCCTTTTCTTAGTTTATGATACAACACTTTGTCACCGTGACTATCAATAACTTGATTTTCGGCGATGGCACAAAACTTACAGTAATAGGTAAGAACTTTTTGTTTTATCTTTTAAATCACTTCAGATCCCAGGTATTCTCTTTAGAGAACTTCACTTCAACCTTATTCTTCCTTTCATTATTAAATTGGTGTTTTCCTGATGTGCTAGTAACCCAGTCTACTTTGGAGAATTGACGAAGTTTAGTACTCTAGGTAGGGACACGCATTTCACTTTGGAGAACTGAATGAATGCATTTTCAATGAATAAAAAGCTGTCCATAGAAATAATTAGGATGACAAATGGGTTAAAAAATATGTGCATATTGTAAATACATTGTCTTAATAAATCGACATCTGCAGAAATCACTATTCCCCAAAAGTATAACTGTTCTCCATAATCTAGTTCTTCTGGGGCTACAGGTGATTAAGGACAAGTCAATGAAAGGCTATCTGTCTGGAAAGAACTGAGTTACAGTTACACTTTGGACAGGTCTAGAAAACAAAATCAAGACTCTACAAACTTAAATTACTGTGGATTTTTTCAGGGTAAACTAAAGCATGTGTTATCCCAGATAACTGGGAAAGACAAATAAGTGTACTAGCATTTTTAGTTGACAAAACAGAAGCCACAAATAAATACTCAACTTTTTCATGAGCAATACTAACAGCTCTCTGCAGCCGTTTAATTCCTTGTTGCTCTAGAAAACAACTCTCCACAGCACAGCAAGTTTCTTTCCACAAAAGAGGCTCATCAGATTGGTGATAAAAAGATCATTTAGGACAACGGTCTTGCTATTTAAGAATAGATGCTAAAAGGCCACTGAAAACCACAGAAAGAGAGTATGTGGTTCATTTCAAATAAAAGTAGCTCTCAGGGAGAGTTTGTCTCTGGGCCACACTTCTGGATTTGGACTCTCTAAATCCAGGGGAAAATAAGGCTGCTTCTAAGACCGTGATAAATGATGGTGATCTCTTCTTCTCAGTGTATTTCTCCTGGAGTCAGAAGAATTAATGCCTCAGGCTTTTGTACCACACCATTCCACTGCAGAGTAAAATGATTACAAGCAATAAAATTCAATCTCCATAGGAAAAATTCAGTGATCAGCACATTTTTTGAAATCCAGTGTGAATTTGAGGTGCCTGAGCTGATGAAAATCAATACACTGATCCCTCATTGACCATAGTAAATTATGCAGCTAACTTTAATGATCATAGCTAAGAGAACAGAGAAAATAAAAGCAGAGACTTCCTTCCAGGGAAGGAGAAAGGGAGGGATGTTTAGCAACTGCTACAATAGGGACAGTGGATGAGGGTCCTGTGTTATATGTTACAAATTATTTTGTAAGTAAAAAAAAAGACATTTATTTTACAATAGAAGAATATTCATGATGTTGAAAGGAAATGAGGAAATTAAGGAAATGAGGCTGTTTAGCTGAAAATAAGCAAAGAAAACTACTCTGTCTGCATATAGGAAATATTTTCTAATAGTATGCCTAGATAAATAGATAAATGTCCTCTAAAGAAATAGTGAAAGCTGCCACAACTGGTTCATCTACACCTGAAGCAAAAGGGCTCTGGAAGAGGTATTTCTGAGACTGATCTCACCTGTGGTTAGACACACGATGTGGTGGTGTTCCCTTACAGATCTTTCTTTTTTTTTTAGGGGACCATAAATTAATGTACTTTGTTTTTCTTCTTTTGCTGGTACCACATGAGGGGAGGGTTAGTCTACAGGTTTGGCTCAGAGAATTGAGAATAGAGGAGAGGTTTTCCTGCAGCTGCAAAACAGCGTGAATAATGAAAGACTGTACTTTGGCAGTGGGACAAAACTCACAATCATAGGTAAGACAGAAGTCAGATCTCTGTGATATATGTGATACTGCTTTAGAGGACAGGAGCATTCTTAATTAACAGCAGAATAATGATCATTTTTCATAAGCCATGAGGACAGGATTAATGCTTTATTGGTTGTTTATTAAAATGAGATGTGCTAATATGGAAGTGTAGGATTTGCAGGCATGAATTTTGAGATCCTTGTGTCTGTTGGCTCTGTCTTCCCTTACTGGGAACTTCATGAAGGGAGAAAGGAAGAAATAATTCTGTTTCCTCCCATTCTCCAAGAAAACATTATAGAGGTTGGGAATGAAAGATCCTTCTTCGATCTGCAAGTTTTTCCAGTTCATCTATGTAACAATCAAAAGCAACGTTTCAGAGGTATAGTCTGGATTCTTGTGTCTGCTGAATCAGGCAGGGAAAAGAGTAGTCTTGCTGGTACTTTGCTCCCCTCTCCTTAGATGGTGGGCAGGCTGCCTAAAGTTGCTTTGGGACACTGGCTTCCTCTAACGGTCCTCTTCATGACTTCTAACGCTCAAAAAGGTGCATATTCTTTTTCTCTCAGTGCACTTCTCTCCTCTATTCTTTCTCTTTTTCCCCATTTGCTTTCTCTGCCTTCTCCCCTCCCAGGAAAAGATTTAACATCACCTATATCAAGGCATTTTGGAATCACAGGGCAAAATAACCTTTTCCATCTGTTACTGCCACATCTGATAACAAACTAGAAATACACATTAGTGCCTGTTCCTTTAAACAGTACAATTTTAAGGAACTAAGTGGCTGGCAAGAAAAGCATAATATCACTGCAGATTATAGTCTGATTGTGTACACCTGTGCTTTTTAACTGTGCTACTTACCTTTGGAGTTAGTACTATGCTCAGAGTTATAGGTCAGCAGCTGTGATTAACCCAAGTGCTCAACGTGGAGGACACTTGAAAATTTCCCTTGCATTAATGATATGTAGCATATACACAGATGATTTTAAAATGAGAGTGGGAGTGAAAGATAACAAGAAATTATGAAACTGACCTTGCCATGATGGGAACGGAATAACTGTGGTACTTTTTCTCTTAGGTGGGTGAAGAATGTGTGACAGGGAATGCATGTTATGCATGGAAGTGACTAAGCATTGTGCCAGTGTCTGCCATGAACACTGTGGAAGATCAGAACAGAATGGACTGTTGATAACACTTTTTTCTGATTGTCTCTGCTCTTGCTTGTACCAGTCTCCTTATTTAATTTCAAGCATGCTCATCCTCTGGCTTTCTTTGTCTTTCCAGTAGTTTTATCATTCTTTCTGTTCTGCCTTTTTCACCTGCCTTCCTCTTTGTCTTTTTTTTTTTGTTTTGTCTGTTAAATTTCTCTCATTTTTCTTTTGTGTCCTCCCTATCTGTTTCCATGTCTTCACTCATTAGCCATTTAGGCTATGAGCCAATGAACTTATGTCAGAGATACTTTTAGGATAGGAAAAAAATTCATAAAGACAAGTACTAGAAGGGAGCAGTAAAAGTGATCAACCTCTCCTCATGTCCAGGGGAAGGAAAGCAGAGCAGTGCCAAACCTTCTAGGGAGCTATATCCATTACTATCTAGTTACCTCTTCTGAAGTTGGTACAAGCTCACACGTTTTCACAGAAGCACCCCAGGGGTCCTTGTAGAGTAAGCACTGACAATCATGGTTAAGGCTAACAGTTGAAAACAAACACTAGGGCTTAGGGGTCAAGATCTATGCAAGATATAAGTTTCTGCTAGTTCTGCTAATTCGCTCCACTCTAGAAAGGAGGGAGTGATCAGGAAGAACATCTACAATTTATAGTGCCTTCACACTGAAAAAAAGTAAAAGTTTTCTCTTTGGCTCCATAGTTCTCTCTGCATTTCTGTTTCCATGTGCACTCTGCAGACCTGGTGGATTTATCATGCTAGATGAGTAAAAAAGGCACTCTAAGTATATGGGGAAAAAAAAAAAGTGGCTTTTAGGGTCACTGCCTAGCTTCTGAGTAACATCTCACTGTTGCCTTGTACATCCTTTTGACTGTAGAAGTCTGTTGTCTTTAGTCTTATATGTAGGTACTAAACACTTTAGGACAGGCGACATCTTTTGGTTTGTGAGTGTATAGAATCTTGCACCATTTTGGGAAGATGTGTAGTCTAGGATGAGGGCTTCTTATACCTAGAATAACCTAAATAATAAATAATATAAAGAGATATTTCATAGTCTTAAAAAAGGATGGCAAGTTAAGACCTAAAGCAAAACTTGTCCCAGACAGATTCAGGCTACCCACCTAAAGTGTTCTTCACTTCAGACAGTGAGAAAGATTAGCTTCTATCTTTCAAGTCACCTCTTAGATGGGGGTGTCCAAGTAGGGTATCACATGGCAGTATAATTCTGAACACTGCGATAACCATCATGTCTAACTCCATCTCCAGGAATGTAACACAGTCAGTTGAAGATGCTTGTTTCTTAATAATACAGACTCTTGTTTATTAGTACAATATTATAAATACGGGCCTTATAGCACTACTGGGTACTTTTCTGCCTACCTGTTTTCTCAGTTTCTTTTCAGCTTTCCTAGTCTTCTGACAGCAAGAATACTAGAAATTCAAACACTCATGCATTTCTGTAGCCAGACCTTTTATGTTTCTGTGTAATGAGTAAAGACAAATGCTTTCAGTTTCCTGGTGTCTACCTGTCTAATAGATATTAATTGTCTAATAGACAGTTGTTAAAATGCCAAATATATCAGGAGCCACACAGCACAAATACAGTACAGTTTTAAGGGGTTTCTGATCAAAGACAGTAATGGAGGCTCCGGGCCATATTGCTTTGCGTTTCAGGGAAGAACGATGAAATCATACCTCCAGCTGTGGCCATCTTTTCCCCATCAAAGCAAGAGATCCAACAGAAGAGCAAGGCCACGCTGGTATGCCTGGCCTCTGGTTTCTACCCTGACCACCTGAATCTGGTCTGGAAGGTGAATGGTGCTACGAGGACAGAAGGGGTGGGGACAGATGAGTTTTCCACACAGAATGGGAGTACCTACTCATTGACCAGCCGACTGAGGATCTCAGCCCAGGAATGGTTCAATCCTTTGAACCGTTTTGAGTGTGTTGCCAACTTTTTTAGGAATGGAACACCAGAATTGATACAGAAATTCATCTACGGTGACGCTGGTAAGTAAAAAAATGTGTATCACCATGCTGTACAAAGTAGAAACCACAAATCGAAAGGGTGTTTGTTATGATGTGAAACACATCTATATACTACTTCTATACAGGGTGTTATTATGGCACAAATATATATGTAAATGTGTAGGTATTTGCATATGTCTCTTCATATTCCTGGGCTTCCGTATCTACATTATCATTATACATCTATATTTTTTCAAAGGTTTCTTCAGATTTTCACTGAGAAATCTCTGTAGTATAGTAAAATATATAGTATAGTAAAATGAATCAGGCAGTATATTGTAAATTGAAACTTCTAAAATTTGTGTTCTGTTTGCATTGAAGAGAAACATGACTTTCAGTTCATTTTTGTCTTTCAGGTTGTGCACTCACAGAAGGTATGTGTGTCTTCTCACAGCCAAATATCTGCATGTATTTTAATTCCAGTTTTACTGACACTAAGTACAAGGTGTGTGAGATTTCTACTACAAGAATAACTTGTACTTCCTCATCTAAGTGGTTTGTATGTTAGATTTAAAAAAAAAAAAAAAGAAAAAAAGACTTCAGAAGGGTTGTATGTGCATGCTGTATTTAGCTGTGTTTTGGTTTTTCAGCTCTTCTTTATGATTCCCTTTTGAAATAACAGAAGAAATTGTGGAACCTTCCTATAGAGTGTAATTTGCTCTTTTTATCATCTCCTCCAGTCCTTAACACTGCCTTCTGTTGGGAAGCTGCTTGCTCAGCCATGAAAGAAAAAAGTCATACTTAGCCAAGTGATTATGACATCAAGATTCAGAATCCAGAATTCTGAATATTTCTTAGTATCATATTCAGAATACTTCTCATTACAAGTCACATTCCCCTCCAAACCGCAAGGATATTCATATTAAAAATTATGTTTCTTTCCTTTATACATATTTACACACTCTTTTTTTCCACCAACTTCTTTAATGCTTCAGGAATCTTAAGGCTGAACCAAGATCAGGCTGGTGTCTCAATACTACTGCAATTCCTTAAGAGTGAAAAATCTGTAAGAATAGAAGTTCTAGATAACATGTTATTCTGGGCTATGTAAAACTTCCCTGATATATCAGCAGCACTCACAAGGCCACTGACAATAACAAGTGAAAAAAATTCATATCTTGTGATTCAGCTTAATCTGAGTTCCTAAGAGGGGACTCAGGAGGTGTGGCAACACAATGGTTAAACATTCCCAGTCAGGACATACTTTCTTAGCATAAAGCCAATCTCTGTCTTTCCTAGACTCACTTTCTCTTTTGGTTCTTTGAATCACAGTGTTCTTTCCCATCCCCTGCTATCTTGTGTCAACAGAGCCATTCATTTGGCTCTAGTTTCTTTGTGTCGCTTAGATAAAGATTTCAAGGGTTCTTATTTGATTAAAGCTACATTAGATCTAGTCTCTTGTGATGATGATAACTCAATACACAAATGATGTTTGATTTGCAGAGTCCTACTTGCGGTATGGAAATTCTCTGAAGCTCACTTACCTCATTCTCTGTGGCAAAGCCTTGCTCTATGCAGTTTTGGTGAGCAGTCTGGTGTGGACAGCCAAGGTAGGCTAGTGTGCCACTTGAAGGTTGAACTTACTCACTAGTACAAGGGTCAGTGGATACAGTCTAAATCTATTCTCAGCTGTGGGATTGTCCTCCATGTGTTCTGCCAGGCTTTGTGCAGGCTAGTTTGAAAAATCACAAGTGATGAGTTTTCTATTATTGTTTTTCCAGAACTCAAATAAAATCAATGCTATCTAGCAGAGCAATTCCTTCTCAAAATACTCTTTAAACACATGGAAAAAGACGAGAATTAAGGACAACTTCTCCAGAAAGTAAAGAAGGGAAATATCAGATATATCATACTTTTCTGTAAGCATTGAAAAGGGACTCATGCCTGGAGTGAAAGTAATAAGCAGGGTTTTTAAGGAGATACATGGGATAAATCTGAACAAAGATTTACAAATATTTACAAAGAACAGTGGGATAAATCTGAACAAATGGGAGAAGTTTAACTAGCTACCAGGAAATATTTTTTATCAGTACGTTTCTCATATGGCTGAAATATATTCCCAGTGAGAGTAATGGAAGCCTCAGCACTTGTTTCTTTAAAAGTAGGACTGGGAGATGTATTTGAAAAGTGACCTGGTAGAGTTGAGAGTGAATATGAACACAATCTCAGTTATGTTTTTGTGCCCTTTTTCAAGGATACTAGAGGGAGTAGGTTTGTACTTTACTGGATCACAATCATAGAATCACAAAATGGTTTGGGTCGGAAGGGACCTTTAAAGATCATCTGGTCCAACACCCCTGCCATAAGCAGGGACATTTTTCACTAGATCAGGTTGCTCAAAGGCCTGTCCAACCTGACTTTGAACACTTCTAAAATGATGGGGCATCCACAACTTCTCTGGGTAACTTGTTCCAGTGTCTCAACACCCTCACAGTAAAAAATTTCTTCCTTATATCTAATCCAAAGCTACCCTGTATCAGTTTAAAACCATTGCCCCTAGTCCTGTCACTACAGGCCTCGGTAAAAAGTCTATCTTTCTATAAGCCCCCTTGCATATTGAAAGGCCACAAGAAGGTCTCCCCAGAGGCTTCTCTTCACTAGGCTGAACAACCCCAACTCTCTCAGCCTTTCTTCATAGGAGAGGTGTTCCATCCCCCTGATAATTTTTGTGGCCCTCCTCTGGACCCACTCCAACAGGTCCATGTCTCTTTTGTACTGGGAGCTCCAGAGTTGGACGCAGTACTCCAGGTGGGGTCTCACGAGAGCGGAGTAGAGGGGCAGAATTACCTCCCTCAACCTGCTGGCCACGCTTCTCTTGATGCAGCCCAGGATACAATCGGCTGTCTGGGCTGCAAGTGCACATGGCCAGCTGACATACAATTTCTCATCCACCAGTATCCCCAAGACCTGTTGGGGTTCTCAAGGGCTGTTCTCAATCCATTCATCCCCCAGTCCATACTGATCCTGGTGATTGCCCCAACCCAGGTGCAGTACCTTGCACTTGGCCTTGTGCAACTTTATGATGTTCACATGGGGCCACTCCTCAAGCCTGTCCAGGTCCCTCTGTATGGCATCCCTTCCCTTAAGCATATTAACTGCATCGCTCAGCTTGGTGTTCTCTGCAAACTTAATGAGGGTGCACTCAATCCCACTATCAATGGCACATTGATGAAGGTATTAAATGGTACTGGTCCCAGTACGGACCCTTGAGGGAAACCACTCGTTACTGGTTTCCACTTGGACATTGAGCCATTGACTGTAACTCTTTGGGCATGATCATCCAGCCAATTCCTTACCCATGTAACAGTCCATCCATTAAACCCATATCTCTCCAATTTAGCGGCAAGAATGTTGTGGGGGACCATATCAAAGACCTTACAGAATTCCAGGTAGATGATATCTGTAGCTCTTCCCTTGTCCACTGATGCAGTCACTCCATTACAGAAGGCCACCAGATCAGTCATCTAACACACAAAGTTGTGTGTAAAGATGTTAGTTCAGTATGTAAGTAAATAATTTGTACAAGTTAAGACACTTCCTTGGTACAAAAAGGGGACAAAGCATGGAGATACAACATGGTCACTTTTGTTAATGCTCTCAGGAGACACAACAGTCGGGACACTGATAAATATGCTCTGTTATTTCCTAGATTATTGTATTTGCTTCTTTTGCTTGGTTTTTTAATTTGTTTATTCTGTTCTGTTTTCAATTAGGCTGGTGGCAAGTTGTATAGAGAATGAATGAAGAGTCCTCTTCATCACATCAGCAGGGACACAGCAAATTATACTTTCCACCTTTCCATAGCAAAGGATCTATGCTTCTGCCTAAGAACTCTGAATATTACTTCTTGGTGGTTCTCTGTCCCCCTCCTGTTCTTTCCACTTTGTTGTAATCACTGCTGGGTTTTCTCTGTACTTCCATATCATATTGTATCGTGTTGTATTGTATTGTATCATATAGTATCATATCTTTAAAACTAACACCTTCTTAATGCTCAGAGGCTGAGGACCCAGATACGTGAATTAGGAATAAAATTTTAGCTTCTTTTCCATTCAAGAAGCATGAGTTGTTGGTTTTTAATTTGGTCTTTTGTAGCAATAATGTCCTACAACACAACTTCCAGTGATGTATCATAAAGAACTCACATTAAAGAACATTCACTGACAATCCTTATAGTAATAGCTTATCCGTTATGAGAACAGTAGAAGGCTCATCCAGTACTTACACTGTGTACCAACAACTGGAGTGGGGCTGTAGGCTTCAGAGGCTTGCGCACTCCAGTACCAGCGACTGGGAGAGTGAGCATCCAAGGCCAGCCAACAAGCAGACTGCATGTCTAAGTCTAGTTTCTGGGAGATCCATAGTGTATAAGTGTGGGTCCCAGTGTGCATGTGGGTGCAGGAGGTAACTGGAGGACCGGGGAGTTCAGGGCCCGTTGCTGGGTAGACTGAGTGTCTAAGGCCAGTTACTGGGATCCAGCATGCATGTGTGTGTGTGTGCGCGCACATGCACATGTGCGTGAAGGAGTGCATGAGGGTTTGTATCTGTGAGTGAGGGGATCTGTACCAGGAAGTGGCGTGGGGCTGCAGGCCTCAGGGGCTCATACGTCCAGGCCTGTTAGTGCCATTTGTGTTTGCATGAGTGTTTCTGTCTGTATTGATTTGCGTGGCTGGCTGTGTGTATACGTATATTTGCATTGTGTATGTGTTTGTATGCCTATTGGGAATACACACTCAGCCTTGCTAGTGGGTGGACCTAGGGAAAGGGAGCTGCAGCAGCCTCACCGCTGTTGGGCTACTGGATTCAGTAACCCCAAATAAAATAGTTAGAACTTACCATTCATTTCTAGCCATCTTAGAGTATATAGGACATCAACCAACCCATGCCTACTGCACAGCACTGTTTAGATGGACAGTGGTACATTTTGTCAGCATTAGGAAAAATAGGCTTCCTATGTTTCATCCCAACTTTGTCAATAGTTT